TGCGGGTCTTTAAAGATAGCCAGTAAGTACTTTATCATGGATCCTAGCCGAACCTATATTTTCGGGTCGGTTTGGTCGTGTTTTTCGATCCGGATAAAATGTCAAGACCTAGAGAGAGTTACATTAAAAACTTACATATAAAATCTCAAATAAACTAATTTATAAATTACATAATTTTTCAAAAAAATCTATTTTATATTTTAAGATTTGTAGCCTAATAATGTACATCATTTCTAAAATACTAAATCATATCAAAATTTGTTTATAATCTAACAAAAACCCGCGCTTTTGAAGCGCGGGTCAAAATCTAGTTTTTTTTTTAATTGCGTGTATCGATCCAAGTCTCTCCTCTCTCTCTCTGGTTCAACGGGCAAAGTTGTTTATTCGAATAAAGTTTTGGTTTTTAACGTTCCCTTTCGTCTTCTTGGCGAATTCTTGCATCAATCTATCTCGATGAGCTGCAATTTGAATCCACCAGCTTCTTCTCAAGATGAGGTTTTTTCCTCTGTTCTTGAATCTGATTTTAAAGGTTTTGCTTTTTCATTTAGTGAAAAATTGAGTTAGTTTAGGTCTGAATTGGATATATGAAATAGGGTTTCTTGATAATCAGTTTCTGTGATTAGAATTGTTACAAAACCCTAGACTTTTCTGTAAATTTTCGATTTTTTTGTGAGATCTGGGTTCTGTTTTGGTGATGGATTTTTTTTTATTCAGGAAGTGAAAATGGAGGATGAGTGTTGTGTAGAGAATAAGCAATCAACAGCTGCTGGTTCTTGCTCCTCTGTATCTGAAGGCAGTGGTGGTAGTAGTTTCCTCAAGTCACCTGCTGCTGTTGCAAGTCCTCCCATTGTATCTCCAACTCAGAGGTGCCTTTTTGTTTTTCACTCCTCTTCTTATTTGTCATTGAAAGTTTGCAACTTTAAATCACATGATAAACTTTTTTTTTTGTTATGACAGGAGGATGAGTGGCCCTATAAGGAGAGCCAAAGGTGGCTGGACTCCAGAAGAGGTTAGTTTTGATTGCTATATAAAACTTGTGGTTGATCACTGGTTCTTGATTTTGAGATGAGAGTTTGCTTTACTTGTTGCAGGATGAGACTTTGAGACAAGCAGTTGTTAAGTTTAATGGCAAGAGCTGGAAGAAAATAGGTAAGATGACTTATAACTTCCTTTTTTTTTCTCTTTTGTTCTAGTTCCAGTGGGAATATGATGTCGGTTTTACAAAAAGCTCAAGAGATTTGGAGTCCTGTATGATAATGTTGATATTTTCTAAAACAATTATTAGCTTCTTACTCTTGGCTATGTAGTTTTATAAGTTAGTGTATTTTGTATTTTGCAGCGGAGTTCTTCCCTGATAGAACTGAAGTTCAGTGCCTGCACCGTTGGCAGAAAGTTTTGAATCCGGATCTTATTAAGGGACCTTGGACGCAAGAGGTTTATACTCTTTCTCTTTAGTTTTGTATTGGCTTTTTTTTTTTTTTGCTTGTGAATATTAGAGCTCAAAAGTTATTGTTTTGGCAGGAGGATGAGAAGATCATTGAACTTGTTGAGAAATATGGCCCTACGAAATGGTCTATTATCTCAAACTCTTTACCAGGTCGAATTGGGAAGCAATGTAGAGAGAGGTAAAATCATTAAAATTCCATATGAGCAAAAACAGCATTTTCTCTTTTAGTTATTCTGGAAGCTCTAATGTGTTTTTTTTGTGATATGTATGAAGATGGCACAACCATTTGAATCCTGGCATCAACAGAGATGCTTGGACCCCAGAGGAAGAGTTAGCTCTCATGAATGCTCATCGAGTCCACGGAAACAAATGGGCTGAGATTGCTAAGGTCTTACCCGGCAGGTATATAACCCTTCTTGGTGCATGCATGCTTCAATGTAGTTAGGCTTAGCTTCTCTGGGTTTAATGAAAAGGGTTTGCTTAAAAACTTGATGCAGAACCGACAATTCGATAAAGAACCATTGGAACAGTTCACTGAAGAAGAAGTCAGAGTTTTTCTTAGCTAACGGTAGCTTACCACCGGCAACAGCAATGAACGGTGTTCCATCGTGTTTTCAGAGAAGGGTTGCTGTTCCAGTTGCTCAAACCTCTTCGGTAACTACACAGATAAACAAGCCTGATGAAGAAAGAAAAGACCAGTTAAACTCTTCTCTTCCTCTTGAAGAAGTAGCTGCTGCTTCACCAATGGCCGGTTTTGAAGAGTACGTTCGTTCTTCTCAGTTGCCTAAACCAGAGCCATCGCCGGAGAGTGGTTATCAGCCTCAAACAGAGGATTACATGGCGTCAGAAGCAGATAAGCAGCGAATGTATGGTTATGAATGTGGCTGCAGTCCAAGCGCATCATCACCTGTTATCTTCTTCACACCACCACCTCCTTGTAGAAAAGAGTATAGCAACGGTTCAACTCCAAGGAGTCCTGAGTCTTTCTTGAGAGAAGCTGCTAGAACTTTCCCAAACACACCTTCTATTTTCAGGAAAAGACGACGCAAGGTTGTTGTTGTTGTTGAGGATAACAACAAAACAGATGAAGAAGCGAAGGAGGTTGTTGTTGATGAAAAGGTGAATGGTATCTCAGAGAGGGCTGATTGTGAAGAAGAGAAGCAAAATAATGGATCAGATGCTTATAATTTATCTCCTCCATACCGGATAAGATCGAAAAGAACAGCTGTTTTTAAGTCAAGACAGCTTGAGTTCATCTCTCCAGAGGAAGAGATGGTTGATGATGAAACTAAATCATCTGAGAAAGATAAGTTGCTTGATGGAGGAGATTCTCAAGTCTCAGGACAAGAAATATGAGATATTCTTCTCCATTACACGTTGAATATTTTTATTGGTTAATCTTTTTTGGTGGGGGATAACGTTAAAGCTGTACTTAATTAACACCTCACATGAGTTAGGTTTGGATTAATAGCCAAAATAATGATGTTTGTAACACAGGTAGAGATCAGTTTCAGTCAGGCATGTTTTCCTGCAAATGAGAGTCTTAAACACCATCATTTAGCAATGACAAATTGTGATTAAATATTTGAGAATGGAGTTGAAAAAAAACAGAGTAAAGATTACAAGAAGCTCTCTGTTCTGAAAGTCTTAGCATATTAAGGATCAAGAAAGTAAAGACACAGTCCTTATGGATCCAAAATAAAAAACTTGTAACCATTTTAGTTGAGCAGACTCATAAAGTCAGGATTCTCAAGTGCTGCCGCTATGCGCTCTTTATCTCCTAATCGTTTATTGACTGCATTTTTAAGACCAATTAGAGAGTCAGACCATAACTTTTACTTCAACTCCAAACCAAAACTGTTTCAAACAACCAGTCTGAATGTTTGTACCTGAAGCCTCTGTTGCATGAGTCCCGGGTGCTACTCTTACATCAACCTAAGCAAATCAATTAACCATTAAGATTCTGATCACTCTTAAGAAACATATTTAAAATCCTTGTACCTTGAATCGAGCAGGAAGGCTTTTTAGAAGCTTTGCGTAGATGCAAAGACCAATTATGTTTGGCAAGTGACAATGTGGAACAGTTGGTCTGAATGTAATTCTGTAAATAAAAATTGCTTTAGTTTAGCTTCTTGTACTCAAGAAAAAAAAAAGGGTTAAAATATGACTACTCTTGTTACCTAACGTAACTCTTGTCATCATCAACTTCAACTGATTCTTCTGTAACTACACGGAGATCTTCCAGAGATTTCATAGGATACTCTGGATCTTTGATATCTTTTATATGATTTGTAGATTGTTAAGAGAAAATTTTATTGGATCAGATAATAAACATAATTATGAGAATATGCAGTGTTACAGGTTATAAGAAAAATTAAAGGATATCAAAAGTTTCGAGCTGATCTATTGGTTCTCTTGAGAACTCATCGGTGTTGCTTCGATCAGTACGAAGACGCCGTTGTTTCTTCTGGTAGCTAACTGGATTCTCATTAGTTAATCCAGAGTCCATCTTTCCTCTCTTCAACTCAGAAACCCTAAAGACCAGTATGAGCACCTTTGTCGCGAGCTTTTAGAAGGGGTTTCAAGGGGAAAAAGTTGGAGTGGGACCCAAAAAAAAAGAAAAAACGTGGTTTGTTGTTCTGGAATAAGCTACGTTTGTTGTCCGTTTTTGGCACTGTTTTGCGGGTCTCTGACGGCCCACGATTGATTCCTATTTAATTTTTTTTTAAATCAGATAAAACCCGAAAAAAAAAAAAAAAAAACTGATTCACCGTCTCTGCCATAAAAGTGGTCTAATTACAATTACAGAACAAAACGATGGTTCCTTGTCAAAACAAATAGGTTTGACCTTATCTGACCCGTATAGTAGTTTCCTAAATATAGTTTTAAGCCATGGTCAATGTTATATAATAGTGCAAATCGGATAAGGAAATATTCCAACATACTATATACGAAGAGAGAATTAAAAACGCTATTAGGGACGTTATATTATTAGCTGAGTGTTATATTTATTAGTTGAGAGTATTAATATATATACTAGATTTTGACCCGCGCTTCAAAAGCGCGGGTTTTTGTTAGATTATAAACAAATTTTGATATGATTTAGTATTTTAGAAATGATGTACATTATTAGTCTACAAATCTTAATATATAAAATAGATTTTTTGAAAAATTATGTAATTTATAAATTAGTTTATTTGAGATTTTATATGTAAGTTTTTAATGTAACTCTCTCTAGGTCTTGACATTTTATCCGGATCGAAAAACACGACCAAACCGACCCAAAAATATAGGTTCGGCTAGGATCCATGATAAAGTACTTACTGGCTATCTTTAAAGACCCGCAGGAATCGATTCTAGTATGGATCATAACCGAGACCTGATCGAGTACATAAAAGCACTCAATATTTTTTTTATTATATATGTTTGGATATTTGATATATGTTTTTGGTATGATGTATATTCTTTTAAGTTTTAGTTACAGTTTTAGGTTTCGGGTTCTAAAATATATATATATATATATATATAAATTTTTTTTTTTTTTTTTTGGATATTCAAATCAAATTTTTGGGTATATTTTGTTTTTCGAGTAAGATTAGGTAAAATTCAAGGTTTTCAGATATTTGAATATATTTTGAGTATTTATTTATGGTTTGAAGTATTTTTCAAATATTTTTCGGGTTTNTCTCTAGAATAGTAAATCATTAATTTTATAACTTGTTTGTATAAATATCCCCAAACATTAGAATACTATGATAATAAACCGGTTTTTGTATTATTACAATATACTATGTTATAGATAGGTTTACTCTAAAAATAATAATATGTTTGGTTTTAAACATATTTATCGTGAATGGAGATGTTCAATATATTTTATACTCTCTTTTTATCAAACATCAGCTATGAAAATTAATCAATGGAAATGATAGAGGGTACTCTGCACAGTTGGTGGCTCAAGCAAATGATATATTTTTTGTTTAATGTGTGAAATCAGTCACATATTATGAAATTATATGGTATAAGGTTATAATAATATTTTGTGGAGAAATAAAAATATTGACCGATAAGAGTAATGTATAATAAATAAGAATATTGACTAATTTATTGTTAGAGAAATATAAAGTAAGTTATATGATATAATGTTATTGTACAATATTGTTAGAGAAATATAAGGAAAGATATAAAAAAATGTTAGTATAATGAAAGGGTCCAAACAACTTTTTTAAGTAGATTTATTTAGACTTCTTCTCTTTTAATAGAGTAGATATATACAAACAGAGTCATCAACTATGGTCACAAATGGTAAATACGAGGAAAACACAAACGAAGAACATTTATCGGCTAAAGGAAAAGGCTGCAGCCATTATTACACAAGAGCTAGTACATCGTTATGATTATATTATTGCTGTGGAGTGTGTTTGTTTCTGGAACTTCCTAGAGCGTGCCGCAGTTACGTGTGTGACAATTAACACCGTTCTAATTTATACCGCATTTGAAACATGGTTACATTGGTTAGTTCATACCGATTTTAATTGTTTGAACATACTCATTGCAAGTTACGTTGTCAATAGGTACGTACCTCGAAATAGACAAATATAATTTGACGTACGTGAGAGGAAAATCTGTCACACTATAAAAATCAAAGCAGACGTTAGGTGTATGTTTCTTATCTTTTATTATCAAAGCAAGTTATGTTTCTTATCTTTATGCTGGGGATAAACTTTAAAGCTGTACTTAATTAACACCTCACATGAGTTATGTTCCGGTTAATAATACCCAACATAATAATGTAATATGCTGTAACAAAGATGGAGATCAGTTTTGAGTCATACAAATTCCTCTGTTTTCCTGCAAATGAGTCTAAACTACAAAGATATTTACATTTACATCAACATTTGAATTGAACATTGGATTTGATGAAAGTGCATAGTCTGTTTGCTACTAGTTAGACTTGAACCAGGTCAGGATATTGAGCTAACTGTTATGATCGACACCAGATTAATAGATAACATAACCTGGGGATATTAACACCATCATTCAAACTATTTTCATACCATACGTGTCATTTAGCAATGAGAAATTGTGATTAAATATTTGAGAATGAAGTTGTAGAAAAAAAAAAACAGACTAAAGACTACAATTAGCTCACTTGTTTTTGAATAATGTAGCTCTCTCTTGTTTCTGAAATTAGCAAAACTAAGAATCAAGAACTGAAAGACACAGTTGACAGTCCTATGCGGATCAAAAATCATAAACTTGTATTAGTTTCCGTATGTTGCATCTAGATGCATTCAGATGTTGTTCATTTGGACACTATTACATCAACATCTAGATATTTGAGATATTAAAAAGAATAGAGTTTGGATGAAAGAAAACACAAGAAAAGGAAAGTATTTTTCTTTCCATCTCAAAAGGGAAAGTTTACACTGGCTTACAGAAAAATCGAAATCATGTATGACATGCGTGTCATTAAATAGCCCAAAATAAAAGAAATTGAGGCCCATTACAAAAAGAAGAAGGCCCAGTCAGAATGGGATATTTATCCACGAAGAGAAGAGAACCATTCACACGAGACGAATCCGGTGACGAGGAACCCTAATAATAGAGAGAGAGAGACGACGCAAAGTATGACGAGGAGGCATATGAAATCAGCGATACGTCCGCAGGTATGGATCCTTATTTGCTTCGTCGTAATACTTTGCTCTGGATTAAGAACACATAGTATTGAATCTTTTCTCAGTAGAAACTAAATCGATTCCCATAGGTGCGATTGTCTGATTATTTTTTTGTCTGATAATGATAATTGATATAAATTTCTCTCTTTCAAAGCCGATCAGATTAGGACAGAAATTTGGGGTTTCCGTTCTGCTATTCGGTGTGGGATATGGCATGGCTGCTTATGTACATGGAGATTATGTAGCAGATCTAGAGAAGCAGATGAAACAGGTAAAAGGAACATTCATCATTAAATTGTATTACATTGATATTATTTATGCCCTTTTGCAACAAAAAATAAAATTTGATATTATGTCTTTTATATTTTTTATCTTCTTTTTCAGGCGCTTGCGGAATGGAATGAGTCTCGCGATTAAGCAACTTACTGAACAGAATCATGCCATTGACATGTTTTTTGGCTTATGTTTTAGATCTTCATCAAGTAACTGCGTTGTATTAAACTTTCTCTAGTAGGCCTAATTAGTTGTCATGTCTTTCTTCTAAATTAGCTGTCATGTCTTGCTTCTAAATTAAAGATTTTCTAAGTGTTGTCATGTATTACTTCTAAATTAAAGATCTTCTTTGACTTATTAACCCAGCTTTCTCTAGTTGGCCTTATTAGTTGTCTTGTCTTGCTTCTCAATTAAAGATTTATCGCTATACCCTCTTTATCGTCGAAATCGATACTCCCAACAGAAGGCAGTGAGCGCAAAGAGAGACCTAAGAATCGTGTTGGCGTTACAGAAGTGAATAACTACTACTAGTTCATTATATAATCAAACAAATGGTTTTGCACAGCAAATGAGTGGTCATTATATAATAAAACATCAAAGAATTTTAAATAGTCAGAATTAAAAGGTTTGTGCTTAAACTCAAAGTTGAGACTTGAATGTTTTAAAAAACAGTATATAAATAAAGAATTATAAAAGTGTTACAATTTTTTTTTTTTATAAAAGATTGGAAAAAGATATTTTATCTGGCCCAAATAAATCAACATCATGTAATGCTATCATAACCTAGCCCAAATAAAAGGTTATAAAAGTACTAACCCACCAGGAGGAAGAAGAAGAAGGCCCAGCCAGAATGGTATATTATCCCCGAGCAGAAGAAACGAAACGACCAACCCTAAGAGAGACGACGCGAATCATGACGGCGAAAAATACTAGATCCGTGATCGCGCTGGTATGAATCATTATTTGCTTCGTCGTAATATTTTTTTTGTTGATATGAACACATATGATGGAATATTTTTTGTGTGTGTTTTCTCCTGTTAATTTGTTAAGATCGAATCTTTTCTGAGTGGAATGTAAATCGATTATCGTAGGTGTGATTGTTTTGATAGGAATTAGGACTGGATATTTTACCCGAACCTTAATCCACACCCGACTCAAAGTTTATGCATGAAAAAATCTTATCTCTTTGATTTTTGTTATCACATATTTTGGGTATTGAATATATTTTCAGTGTATAATGTGAAAGTATGTCTTTAGAAATTTAATAAGCTTTACTCCCTCCGCTTCAATTTGCTGTGGTTTTATAATTTCGACTCAATAATTTCAACTCAGTATTTATTAATTTTGTATATTTTACTATTTTTTTTATTGATTAAAATGTTGTTAGATATATATGTAATAGTGTTTTTATCTTAAAAATATGCAAAATTAAATGTTTTTTTAATCTTTGTGAAAAAACCTAAAACGACAGATTATTGATTATTTGAACCCGATCTGAAATTACTAAAGTCGAAGTCTAAATATCCGAATCAAAATACTGAAAATCCAAAATCAAAGTACTGAAAACCCAAAATACTTTCGGGTATCTGAATGCACATGCCTAATAAAAACTCTGTTTTGGATTGATTCAGGTGGATAAATATACCTCTGGAGTCGTATGGATATCTTTTGGATATCTTGCTTACTGCATCAGTGGTATGTTTTTATATTTTCTTGTTGTTTTTGTTCTGAAACTTATGAATTTTTTCCAATTATATATTTAGCTGTGGCTAGGCTGCGGCCAAAAATGTCGGAGTTGGATAGAGCTATAAAGGAGAAAGCTGAGTTGCTCCAGAACCTCAAGGGAAGAAATTAGTGTGTTTGTTAAAAATAATAGATCTATGGTTTGTGTTCAAAAAAATAGAGCTGAGTTGGATAGAGCTCTAAAGGAGAAAGCTGAGTTGCTCCAGAACCTCAAGGGAAGAAATTAGTGTATTTGTTAAAAATAATAGATCTATGGTTTGTGTTCAAAAAAATATTATCTGTTCTGGGTATATGACTCCTTCCCCTTCGTGTATATATATGTATTGCTTTCTGTTTTATTTTCCAGTCCGTTAAAAGACATCTATGTTTGTCTTGGATTTTAAGCTCTCGTTTTGATTTATAATAATACTATGACCTCTTGGACTTGACAATGGCAATGACAATTCCATTGGCCCTTTCAGACCAACCTTGTTCTTCTGCACAGACTCGAGACATTCCCATGTTAGGAAACTCTGGGTCCTAGGATCTTTTAATGTACAAAGATAATGTTCTTCCCATTCAATGGGAGCCTCAGCGACATTGAACACCTGGATCATCATACATACATTAACAGAGACCAAGACAAATGTTAGCGTTCGCTAATTACAAGAAAGGGACCTGTTTGACAGATTCAGCGATTTCGGGACCGATACCATCACCATGTAAGAGAGTTGCTGTGATTGGAATGATGGAGGAGGAAAAAGCCCTAGCAACGAGTATACCTGAACTAGAAAGTCTAGAATTTGTAATCCCGAGGAGGAGCGTTCTAGATCGGTTACCGATCATCCCTCTCGCCAGAAAGGTTGGCATAGTCTTTGAAGGAAGCAGTCAGAAAATGATTTAACCTTTAAAAGAAAGAGAAACAGAGAGGAAAGGAGACTTTTAGTTGCCTTGGTTCGTAAGTCATATAGTAGAAACATGTTCTCCATTTCCATTTATTCTAAAAACGCTTTGTAGTTTTTAACATTACGGATGATTTTTAAAAGAGTATAGATACTTCTCTTCTACGCTTAATGACATGTTAAAAGTAGGGCTGGCTCAACAACATTTAAGCAAATTTTATTTTAAAATAGTTAAAAGTTAAAATTTAATGTAATTATTTATGTACTCATTATTTTCTATGAAATTTTTCAAAGCAAATTATGTTTTAAATAAATTTAATAAGAATATATTTGGAAACATAGATAGTTAAGTACTTTCTTTTATTTGCATATTCTATCATTGTATTTATAATAAATTAAATATTTTATTTTTATATAATTTTTTTTATAGATAATGTCATCATTTAAAATCAATTTAAATTAATAAATTACAATAATTTTTCTTTCTTTGTGGTGTAAACAAAAACTGCAATATATAGTATACTAGGGCCCGCCCACCCTACGGGGGGTATACTTTATGTATAATGTTCGTTATGAATTTTGTAGGGTTTTGTGTTTTGTAGGTTTGCATTGGAAAATTGTGTATGATTTTTTTTTTTGTTCTGTATTTTAGAAATATTTAGGGGAGGTGGAATTATATGTTTAGTATAATTTAGTTTGGTTTGGTTTGGTTATGAATATATTGAATATATAAATTTTGTATTTTACTTCTCTGATTATTAATATATGTATAAAGTCTACGATTATAGTTTAACACACTACGCCCAGAATATGATCACCATTTTGTATTTCACTTTTCTGATTATTAACATAATAGTGGTTGTTGATATGTATAAGGTATTTGGTTATAGTTTAACACACTACGCCTGGAATATAATCTTCATGAGTTGTAAATATTTATACTTTTGATGGAACAAATTGGAAAAAAAGTTAGAAATTTCCAATCGTTTTTTGACAACAAAATTTAGTAGTTGAAAATCCATCAAAAAATTGGACCGAACATTGACTTGGTATTGTAGCTTCGTTAATGGTTGGACCAGACATGTGTGAGTGATCGGAATTTACATTTTGATCTAATTTTAAATTAAATAACTATTTATATATATAACTATAAATTTTGAATCTTTGCTAAAATCTAAAAATGATATGGAAATAAAATAAAAGCTTCAAAATATTATAAAAAAAATATAAGAAAAATTAATTAATTTAGATAGATATAAAACACACAAAAAATAATTTCATAAATTCGTCATCTTGTAACACAAAAATTATTCATAGAACTAAAAAGTTTCAACAAACACATAATCAAGATTAGCATAAAAATAATTGATAGGATCGAACAGAATATATCCATTCTAGAATATTACGTTGCATATGAAAAGGGAAAGTAGGCTAAATAAACCGGATCGAAATACATGTAAATAGGCCGAAATAATCGTGGCCCATTAAGAGAGGAAGAGAAAGAAGAAGGCAGAGTGAGAATGGGATTATTTATAGACGAAAAGAAGAAGATGGAGACGAACCCTAAGAGAGAGACGACGCAAATCATGACGGCGATGGCGAGGAGTCCCGTGGTCAAGCAGGTATGAAACCTTAGTTGCTCCGTCGTAATATTTTACTCTTGATAAGAGCACATAGGATCGAAGCTTTTTTTTTGTTTTTGTTTTCTGTGTTAAGATGGAATCTATTCTCAATGGAACGAACCTAAATCGACTCCCATAGGTGCGACTGCTTAGGTTAAAACTGTGTGGTTTGGGTTGATTCAGGTGGAGAAACTCAAACGGAAATCTTGTTTCCTCTTATGGAATGTAAATCGATTTTTGTATGTGTGATTGCTTTGATAAGAACACTGAGATTTAACTCTACCTCTGTACTCAGATGAAGTCACTATCTTTCTTTTCTGTGTGTTGTGTTTTCCTTCTTATTTTGTCAATGGAATGTTAATGGATTCTGCTTTGATAAGAATGTGTTGTTTGGTTTGATTCAGGTGGGGAAATTTGCCTCTGGATTCAAATGGATTTCTTTCGGATATCTTGCTTACTGCATCACTGGTATGTTATTTCTTATGTACATTTTTCATGTTGTTTTTGTTCTGAAACTTATGAATCTTCTCTCTCTATTTTTTATTAAGCTTCGTCTAGGTTGCGTAAAAACAGTTCGGAGTTGGATAGAGCTCTGGCGCATAACAAAGCCAAGTTGATCAAGCGCCTCAACCTAAATTAGTTTTTATGTCTGCGATGAGCCTTTATGTTTGAGAGATGTTCATCAAATAACTGCTTTGTATGCGACCTTTTACTGTGGTGTATTTAAAACTAAAAAGTTGAGACGTGAATGTTTAAATGAGCTTGACCTTTATTTCTCTTCATGTCTTTGCTTTTAACTAATTAGATTTTAATTAGTAATTAATTGATGCCTTAAATTAATAATTAACTAATTAGGTTTTGAAAAGTTCGCCGAGGAACGTAGACTTCTTCTTCAGTATGTTACTATTGCTTACTTTTTGCTACTCCGTAATTGATTAAACTAATGGAGACCACCGTAAGTTTAAACAAACGACCATCCATATTTTTATAGGGGTTTGATCTTTTTGATGACTTTTTGTTCATCATCGGGTTTGGGCTCGGTTTAGGTATAGGATTCAGCTTAAATTGAGCTTATTATCAAATATTTACTCTTAGATAAGACTTAATAAAGTTATTATAGTTGTAATTTATTTTCTAGACTTTGATTTGGTTCTGGTTTTTCGAATTGTAAAGATTTAGACTAAGGTTTGGTTCGGTTAAAAATCTGGTACTCTGGGTAAGTTTTGTATTTATTAATTTAATGAGTATAGATAATTTAATGAAATGTAAAAAAATTCTGAGAGAATTGTCCTTTAAAGTAATAATTAATTGATTAAAATAATATTTTCAAACTCAAAAAGAAAGTATGAGAAAAAATGGCAATCATGCGTGTCATTAAATGAATAGCCCAAAATAAAAGAAACCAAGGCCCATTAAGAGGAAGAAAAAGAAGAAGAAAGCCCTGTCTGTCAGAGTGGGATATTTATTTGACGAAGAGAAGACGAGACGAGACGAGACGAGAGGAATCGAGTGAGAGACGAGACGAATCGAGTGATGACGGCGACAATGGCGATGAGATTTGCTAGGGTATTGGGGGGAAGAGGAGCCAGCTATGCTCGTGGCTACGGTAAGAACCAGGGGCGAGATTTGGTGTACCGTCCTCCGCCGCCGCCAACACTACGAGGTGACGGTCTACTCAGCCGTGGCTACAGTACGCCCCCACGAGATTTGGTGCTGTATTCGCCGCTGCCGCCGCCGCCACCACCACCACCACCACGACGAGGTTATGGTATCCTCGACCTGTTTCTCCAATATCTGAAAGATGTGCTTGCCGAGGTCTATTCCCTTTGTGTGAAGCTTGGGGCTAAGATTGTGGTGGGAGGAGGACCTTTTCTGGTAGGTATGGTAATGCTGACTGAGCATGGGAAAGCCATACTTGCTAAAATGGAATCTTTTGGTTTAGGCAAAGCGGTTGATTCTCATCCTTTGCTTCATCCTTTTGCTGGAGACATTCTCGTTCTTCAAGCGTTGGCACATACAGGGCCATTTGCCAGGCACAGCATCATTGATAACCCTCAAGAGTTTCTCTGGGGTAAGTACTTAAATGTAATCTAATTGTTCTGTGGTATTAGATGATAGACTAATATAATGTGTGTTTTTTTCAAGGTAAAAACGGCGTGTATGCAGGGGTTAAATTTGAGAGAAGCGCCTTCACGGATGCTCTCGGTTACCGTCCTCGTCATCTTTGATCATCAACAAGTGGAGCGATAAGGTTTTTTAGGTCCTCTGATATATGTTAATGAAATAACTGGTTTGTCTGTCTGTCTGTCTGTGACTTTTGTTTTAGGATATCTATTGTCTGTAAATCTGAGACTTTAATGACTAAACTAACACCCAAAGCGGTGTGTTATCTATGTCTTGTTCTTCTTTTGCTTCATAATCATTGTGATGAAGAGATCATTCACAAGTTATTAACTCGACTAATGTAGAAACCAACCACAAATTGCAAGTCACTAGCCTTCAAGTCTGAATAAGTACATACTCAAGTGATGAAAGTCTATTATAGCAACACAATGCAGTGATCATCAATAAATAGTCTTGAACTCAAATCTTATTCTAAAAATATGAATGTTGTTACCAGCAATTCTAGCTATCAGGAAAGTATCTCTCATGGCAGTCCAATAATGCATACTGCCACTAGAGCAGAAACTAAATCATTCATATCCGAAGCACATGAGCTAAGATTCCTACCACGATGAGGATCACTCCCTCCAAAACCTGGCAACATCATATGACACTAGGTAGACGTACACCATAGTCCTTGAGCAACCACTCTTTTACTCCAGGTATGCCTTAACATTAGATGTCAATATCAGATTACTAAAGAAGCAGAAACTGATATAAACTGACTCTGTCCATATAAAATTGAATAAGGATACATGTCCTTTGGTGAAGAACATTCTACTTCTAGACTCTGAAGGGAAGCCTGTGGCTGTCGAGTATTACTCTGATGACTGGTCTACTCATGCTGCCAAGTTGAGTTTTGAGAAACTTGTCTTCTCCAAGACCTCTAACACCAATGCTCGCACTGAAGGTAAACACAATATGATTCATTTTAAAACATTTTCTTTGTGTAGTGTTGGGTTTATATCGCTTACAGATGTGTGTTTAATTTGTTTGGGTTTGAACATTTAATGTGCAGCTGAAATCACACTGCTGGACATCGTCTATAAGTTTGCTCAGGATCTTCACTTCTTTGTTACTGGAGGCGAAAATGAGAACTACCTCGTCTTGTCTTCTGTTCTTCAAGGCTTTTTCGATGCTGTTGCACTTCTTCTAAGGTATTAGCTAGACTTTGTATAATAATTAAGCACTTCTTTTATTTAGTAATTAACGATCTCAGCAATTGACTTTGAATTCTTGTTCTGAGCTTAGCTTATCTTTCAATTTAGAAATCATACATTTAACAGCTTTTTTACTTTTTTCTTAAAAGCATGTAGATTTTAGGAAATAAAATTCTACACTTATTGTTTTTTAGAGTTGTCATAGATATCTTAGCATTTAGCTATTGGTTGATTATGACTTGTGGAATATATGTGTTTCAGGGTGGTTCTTGAAACGGATCCTAACGTCATTGCGGGGAAAGTAGCAATGCAGAGCACAGAAGCTAGTGGTTCACTCACTGAACAGGTGATGACAAAATATGATTTAGTTTTTGATCATTTTGGGTTCTGTGTTTGGCTAAACTGTTTCACTAATTTGATTTTGGATTTTGGGTGGGTTTGCAGACATTAACTCAAGCATTGGCAACAGCTCGGGAACATCTTGCAAGAAGTCTGCTTACATGAGTTTTTTTACTCATATGCGCATGGCCAAACATGATAGAGTGGAAGAGCAACTTTTATGGGATTTTGTCTCCCGATTTTATAACGTGTGAAAGGCTTCTAATAATTTAAAGCACTTAGCTTTACTCTTAAACTTTTGCAATGCTGGAATTTGAAGACTGGATATTGCAGAATATGGTTATTTCTAATGTTTGCCGAGAATTAACAATTTTGATTTGGTATATATACCATCGATTTTCAGTTTATTCAGTTTTATACCAAAAAACATAATTATTTAGTTTGAGATCATATTATATATTAGACACATATATAATATGATCATATTTAGAGTCATATTATCAAAAAAAAAATTATTAAAAAAATATTATATATTTAAATAAAAGAATAAAAACAAAAAAGTTTTCTATCATCTAATAAAATGATCAAATCTACAATTAATATCAAAGCACTAAATTTTTTAAAAAAAAAACAAAACAAAAGTTTTTATATTCTTCCATATTTAGTGTTCATGTCTTCGATTGATCAAAACTCTGTTTGTTTAAAGATAAACAAAAAATTGTAAAGAATTTCAACTAATTGTTGTCTATCAAATTTATAACATGAGTTATGTTCCGGTCAATAATACCCAACATAATAATGTAATATGCTGTAACAAAGATGGAGATCAGTTTTGAGTCATACAAATTCCTCTGTTTTCCTGCAAATGAGTCTAAACTACAAAGATATTTACATTTACATCAACATTTGAATTGAACATTGGATTTGATGAAAGTGCATAGTCTGTTTACTACTAGTTAGACTTGAACCAGGTCAGAATATATAGCTAACTGTTATGATCGACACCAGATAAATATATAACATAACCTGGGGATATTAACACCATCATTCAAACTATTTTCATACCATACGTGTCATTTAGCAATGAGAAATTGTGATTATATATTTGAGAATGAAGTTGTAGAAAAAAATATAATAAAATTAATTAATTTAGATAGCTATAAAACACACAAAAAATAATTTCATAAATTCGTAATCTTGTAACACAAAAATTATTCATAGATCTAAAAAGTTTCAACAAACACATAATCAAGATTAGCATAAAAATAATTGATAGAATCAAACAGAATATATCCGTTCTAGAATATTAGGTTGCACCACTACTATTAAATTTGGATCATACCCAATTGATAAAAAATTGTGTCCAACTATTATTTTTAACAAAAAAAGTATTTTTTAATATGATAACTATATTACCCTTTTATATAATAACTGCAAAAAAAAAATAAAAAATTGGAATCTAACTACTGCATTATCACAGCTAACAATAACTAATTTGTAAGCTGGATTCATATTGACTAACTTTCATTGTAAACGCTTAAGTGACCGATATCACTTTTTAAATAACTAAAACTGCTGAGTGACTTTAATTCCATAATTTACGTTTCAAATTGAGACAGAAAAAATAAATAGCAGCGCAAAAATATGATTATACAAACACACGAACATATCAATTATATTAGGTAAAAAATTTTTAAAAAAAAAATATACTCGCACTCAAAATCTATTTCTTTATTAAAACAAAAGTCATGACTTGACTTCATGTGTGATTTTTTTTAAAAAGAACTATTACTAGAAAACCACGTTACATTAACTCTCTAATAATCTTATCATTATTATATCTTATGAAAAATTTATATATATAATAACGAAGATATGCTTAACAATTAAATTATCCCCACACCTTAGTTGCTTCGTCGTAATATTTTACTCTTGATAAGAACACATAGGATCGAAGCTTTTTTTTTGTTTTTGTTTTCTGTGTTAAGATGGAATCTATTCTCAATGGAACGAACCTTAATCGATTCCCATAGGTGCGACTGCTTAGGTTAAAACTGTGTGGTTTGCAGTGGCGATCCCAGAAAAATATATATGTGGGGTCAAAAAAGATATAAAAGGTCTTCAAGGGGACTTGAACCCCAGTTTGTGGGTTCATTCATACCTCTCTCAACCTAATATGCCACTAAAAACTTATGTATATAGCCTACAAAAACGTTTTTATATAATATTTGTGGTGTCAAGTGAACCCACTCTCCCTAACGTGGGTCCGCCCCTGGTGGTTTGGATTGATCTCAAATGGAATCTTGTTTTGTTAAGATCGACTTTTCTCTTATGGAATGTAAATCGATTTTTGTATGTGTGATTGCTTTGATAAGAACACTGTGGTATGAACACATATGATGGAATATTTTGTGTGTGTTTTCTCCTGTTAATTTGTTAAGATCGAATCTTTTCTCAGTGGAATGTAAATCGATTATCGTAGGTGTGATTGTTTTGATAGGAATTAGGACTGGATATTTTACCCGAACCTTAATCCACACCCGACTCAAAGTTTATGCATGAAAAAATCTTATTTATTTGATTTTTGTTATCACATACTGTATTTTGGGTATTGAATCACATATATTTTCAGTGTATAATCTAAAAGTATGTTTTTAGAAATTTAATAAGCTTTACTCCCTCCGCTTCAATTTGCTGTGGTTTTATAATTTCAACTCATATAATTTCAACTCAGTATTTATTAATTTTATATATTTTACTATTTTTTTATTGGCTGAAATGTTGTTAGATATATGTAATAGTGTTTTATCTTAAAAATATGCAAAATTAAATGTTTTTTAATCTTTGTGAAAAAACCTAAAAACGACTGATTATTGATTATTTGAACCCGATCTGAAATTACTAAAGTCGAAGTCTAAATATCCGAACCAAAATACTGAAAATCCAAAATCAAAGTACTGAAAACGAAAATACTTTTCGGGTATCTGAATGCACATGCCTAATAAAAACTCTGTTTTGGATTGATTCATGTGGATAAATATACCTCTGGATTCCTATGGATATCTTTTGGTTATTTAACGTACTGCATTATTGGTATGTTTTTATATTTTCTTGTTGTTTTTGTTCTGAAACTTATGATTTTTTTCCAATTATATATTTAGCTACGGCTAGGTTGCGGTCAAAAAGTTCGGAGTTGGATAGAGCTCTAAAGGAGAAAGCTGAGTTGCTCCAGAACCTCAAGGGAAGAAATTAGTGTGTTTGTTAAAAATAATAGATCTATGGTTTGTGTTCAAAAAAATATTATCTGTTCTGGGTCTATGACTCCTTCCCCTTCGTGTATATATATGTATTGCTTTCTGTTTTATTGAGAGAATTACCCATAAATAAATGGTTAATTTGTTAATTTAATTTTAATTTTCTGTATTTTTTTTTAAATAGATTTGGATAACTGTGGGTATCTGAGTTTTAGTCCAGATATCCTTGTTAGCAATATATGATAATTTCTTGTTGAAATATTCTCGGTAAATATATAGTTACCTAACTTTGTGTAACTATCTTTACCATTGATATATATAGCGTATCAATATATAGTATTCAACTTTCATGGTATCATAGTTTAGGCGTTCTTGATCATTTCTTATATGTTTTCTTCTTCCATCCTTCACTTCTTCTTCTTGTGTAATGGCTGGTCCACAAGCCAATATTGAAAGAGCATTTGGTGTTACCAACATTAAGTCCCACAATCCCACCACTCTCGATCTAAACGATCACATCTATGATGCTTGGAGGGAGTCATTTCTTACTCACTGTCTCGCCTTTGACGTCCTTACTCACGTTGATGGCACACTCCAACCGGCCGGAAACGATGATGGCACTTGGCACAAACGAGACGGCCTTGTCAAACTCTGCTTTTATGGTAAGCTAGCTCGACCTCTCTTCGGTTCCTCCTTCAAGACAGACCGGTTTATTATTCTGTTATTGGTTTATTTGTTTGTTACAATTGTTTGGCTCATATAAGAGTCATGCACATGTAAACGTTGATCTTTATCAGAAATAAGAAGAATATTCATCTTCTCTAATACGTACAACTCGTGATATATGGCTCCGAATCGAGAACCAGCAACAACAAGGAGACCAGAGCAATACAGCAGCTCGATAATGAGTTATGTACCACATAAATTGGTGACATGTCGGTTCAGGACTATAGTCAGAAGCTGAAATATCTGTCCGATTTGCTAGCAAATGTGAATTCTCCTGTAACTGATCGTACGCTTGTCATGTACTTCTCAATGATTGAACGAAAGGTTGATAACATTATTAATGTTATAAAACACCGTGAGCCATTTCCCTCTTTTGATTCAGCTATGTCAATGCTCGAAATAGAGGAGAAGAGAGTGAAATGCAATATCAAACCGCAGGTGACCACCGCTGACCATTCCTCTTCACCAACAATTCTCACGGTCGCTGATGATGAAAGCAGCAACACGAACAGAGGACAAACCAGGAGATCCAGCAGCAACTACAACAACACACGTGGTAGTGGTGGAAGGGTACATTCTAATCTACCTTCTATACAACAATCTACTTCACTTGGCATATATACTAACACTGTGGTAAATGCGTATCAGGGATGATTCAGCTGACATTTAGGGTGGGACGAAATAGAACCATCAAAGTCAAAACAATGCATGCTAGGGGGAATGAGACATACAGTACTTAGAAGGGAGTGAGACCATAACTTTTAAGCAATGGTTTTTAATCATATATAACTCCTAATAATGTTGATTGTGAATGAAAATTTATATTACCTGATTGTGCATGAAACTTTGCTAGCATGCAAAATTATTGGAAATTATTTGAGTTAGTCTGAGACGGATATCCACTCTGTTTTGGATAGTCACAAATAACTTGTTTTGTTGGTGCATCGTAATAAACAAAAACAGTAGACAATTACGTAATATAATAGACACTAGATATTGTGTACCAGAGGTTAGTGAGAGGTTTTAGTGAGAGGTTTCTCCCAGGCACCTTTTACTAGAAAGGTTATTACCTTTTACAGCTGACACAGATCCCTCTTTTATCCGCTGACTTTTTTCCTGTTCTGGAGTAAAAACAAAAGAAAAATCCAGGAATTTTCAAATTGTTCCTGCATTTAGAATAAACCGCTGGATAATAGCAGTATCTGAGGCAATATCCTCCGGGTTCTTCCCCCGACCCGGGTCGGAGGGACCGCTGGCGAAGCTCCAAACCACCGTGAAGCCGTCCTCGTAGCTAACAATGGTTTTATTCTCTATGTATCTGCTCGGAGTACACATCCAGAACTTCGCTCCTCTGCTCTCTTGAGTCTGTGGAGCTTCA